GACACTACTGAGTTACATGATGTTACAGTACAAGTTCTCATCTGTGGAGTCTTAACTGACCTTGGAAGGCTAGGGCCAAAATGTTGGCTTTCCTTGCAGCCCTCCTTTTTCTCCATTTTCAAAGAAGGAAGGGTGTGGGAAGATCAAAGCCTATTTCAGGAGGCAGAAAAGTTCCCTGCTTCTGACTCAGGTCACCAAAAGTTCTCAGGAAGCCTGGAGTCATCCACACGACTGGAGAAAGCCCACAGTTCTGCCAGTGTTACCTCCTTCGCCACACAGGGAGCTGCTGCCTGGAGACTCCAGCCTCCCACCAAGTGACCGTCCTTTGCCTTCCCTGCATCGCTTGGTTCTCTACTAGGAAGTCTCTGGCTCACCCTTAAGGTGAAACACAGAGATCTCCAGTAGGGTGTGAGCAAGTACATCACAAAGTGGATGGGAAAACAACAGCACAGTGACCTTCACAGGGTAGGGTGGGCCCTCGGGTCATTACTGCCAAATGACCCCACTCAGCCCCACTGTGTGGTAGGGGCCTAACAGCACAGCAGGCTCTGGAGGGCAGGGCCAAGGTTCAAGCTGGGGCAGTGGCAGCATCCCACTGCTCACCTGTTTATTTGAGCAGGGAGTTCCCCGATATGCTGGACATCCACGAGGGCCAAGGCCCAGGGGCTGGGGGAAGCAGTTACCGACTCACAGAGGCCCCGTGCACAAATCCTCACAGGGCTTTCTGGATCCTAGCTGGAGCCAGGGCTGCCTCCCAGCGTGAGCTCTTCCCCTACCCCCACTCCCCAGGGCTAGGGTTCAAACTCACGGCTTTATCCGTGAGCCACACTCCCAATCTCTGGTGTGAGCACTCTGTTGCTGTGTAGTTAGCTGTAATCATCTGCCCTCCAGCACCCTCGTCCCTGGCCTGTGAGCTGCCTACTTTCCTGAACAGATTCATGCCCACTCTGTACCTCTTGATAGAGAAAAAACCATCATTTTCACAGACATTGCCTAGAGAAATGACTGATTGCCATTCAGAGAACCAGATAGCAGTGTGGACTGTTGTCCCACTGCCTGACGAGGATACCTTGGCTTCATTCTGGGTGGAGCAGGCACTAGGCCAGGGTGCAGGCTCATCGGCCCAAGGCCCTCTGTGGGCAGAGCCAGCCTCTACCCCTTCTGCCCCTGCGTCATCCTGCCCATTGTGCCCACTTCCCGCCAGGGACGACCCTCTCCAGTGGGTCTCCTGCAACTGCTTCAGC